GCATTCTTTCACGCTATGTTGCTCCTGGGAGACACAGACCGGAGCACATGGCTGCAGCGAAGAGGGTATTGCGCTACCTGTGCAGTACGTCGGGCATGGGGCTAGTGCTTGGAGGGCGTAGTTCAGTGGTCCTTACCGGCCACGCGGACGCTTCTTGGGCTGACGACCAGGCTACGCAGCGGTCGTCACAGGGTTACACCTTCAGCCTTGGTTCTGGCTCTGTCTCGTGGCGGTCTACTCGCTCGTCTTCGGTTCTCGGCTCCAGTTGTGAGGCTGAGATCTACGCCGGGGCCATGGCTGCACAGGAGCTTCGCTGGCTCACCTACCTGCTGACAGACCTTGGAGAGCCGCCTCGTTCTCCTCCAGTGCTGTACGTAGACAACAAGGCCATGCTGGCCTTGTGTCGAGGAGCAGCGCTTGGAGCACAGAACGAAGCACATTGCTCTCCGCTACTTCCTTGCTCGTGAGCTGCAGCAGCGTGGTCAGTTGCGACTTGCGTACGTGGCCTCTGAGGCCAACACTGCTGATGTGTTCACCAAGGCACTCGCGCCTTGTGACCATCAGCGCTTTTGCACCCAGCTGGGTCTTGTACCTGTCTTGCCTCACTTGCTCTCCTCTTGACTTCACTTGTACTGTGACATATATATATACCCTGCTTGTCTAGTTTATATATATGTCTGTACTCCTGCATGTGAACTGGCCTCTGGCCCTGCTCTTGTGCTCGGACTGTGTGGTGACTTTGTGATCCACCCTGAGCTTGCTTTGCTTTGCTTGACTGGTCTTGTGACCCCTTGTTCTCCCCCACTTTGCCTATGGGGGTGTGTCAGAGTATTATAGCTGATGCATGTTTGTAGGCTATAGTGGGGTAGCACATATGGGGTACAGCTTTCTAGGGTTGTATTTGTACCCAACTCTGACTTAGTCATTCTCATTCCTGTTTTCCTTGCTTCACACGTTGACCCGCTTTTGGCCCGTTCGTTAAGGGGCGGGCCGGGCCGGGCCAGCCCGGGTCGGGCCCAAAAATCGTTTACCTTTGTAAAACAGGCCCAAAAAACATTTTACCTGTAACAAAAGAATACCCGAGCCGGGCTCGTCCAAGGTTTCCCCCCTGGGCGAATTCGGGCCAAGGTCTAGCTCATTTGCCCCGGGGCGGCCGGGCTAGGCCCGGCCCGCTTTTTTGGGCAGCCCGCCTTTGCCCGACCCGTGCTCAACCCTAGCAATGAACATTGTACGACCACTACAACTTTTATCTGTTTGCCATGAGCCGGCCAAGCCAGGTGGGAAAAAGTTGGGCGACCTTTTTGGAAGATGGTGATTCTTTAGCGATAGTTGATTCAGTACCTACGTTGGCAGATACTCGTTTCACGTATGATACGCTTGTGTACGATACACTAGGATATATACGCCATACGCCTTGGCTAGCGTACTGCAGATACTCTAAAATACGCTGGGCGTGCAGGTTTTTTTTTTCCCAGGCAGGAAAAATAACCTTTTTCAGGGGGGGCTTGGGTCCCACTGTAGAAAATGGATCGATGAGCTTTAGGGCACAATAGGGAGGAGAAAACATCCATAGCAAGAAATGGTACAAGTCTTAGAAAAACTAGAGCAGGGTTCTTGTCCAAGGATGATCCCTGGTGGAGTAGGAAGCCACATATATGTGGTTGAAGTCTTGAGGCTAGCTGCAGCACCTAGGCATGAGCACGAGGCGAACTCAAACATGTTCGCGTTCGCCTTGGCTCGAACATGGCCGTTCGGCGAACCGAACAGTGTTCAGTTCGCCGAACAGGTTTCGCCCAAAGGCGTGTTCGACGTTTGCCTTTGAAGGCGAACATTTCGAACATAATGGCGAACACGAACGTGTTCGCCAGGAACATGTTCGTGTTCGCCCCTGAGGGCTTTGCATACTAAAACACATGAGTAAAACACTACAAAGGGTTCCCGCTAGAAGGGTTTTCGGTTTGGTACTGATTTGACTTACCCTTGCCGTGTTCATAACAACTTTCAAGAGCATAATTAAAGTGCGCAATAGAACATGTCCACAGTCAAAGGACTACCTAGGATTCAACATAGTAGGGTCACCAAAGGGTCCCTCAATACCCCCCGAACAAAATGAAAACTACAGCCCAATATACCTGTGCAAAGTGGCGAGCCGAGTAATGCTCGGCTCGTCCCTAGCATTGCTCGGCCGAGTTTCGAGCTGAGTCGAGTAATACTCGGCCGAGTTTTTTTCCCATAAACCGAAACTCGGTACTCGCCCTTTCAAAGGAAACTCGGGCGAGCATTTAGTGAAGCTCGTCCGAGTACGAGTAATGCTCGCCCCGCTGCCCTGTAACTGCAATATCAGGGGCCCTCACAAGTACCACGGACGCGTCCAGCTAGCTAATTTAGGAATATCGGAGTAGACTTGCGGGGAAGGGAAGGGGGTTGTGTCCTGACGGGATCTGAAATTGGAACGGGTGGTTGGGTTTTTTGTAGATTCAGTGCGGTGAACAAAGGTAAGTGGTGGCGAATGGGTTGGGAACTCAAGACGAAAAATCGTCGGCGAATTAGAGTAGTCGGGGGAGCTTTTGCTCGACCAAAGCAAAACCTGTTTTGAGCATAGCAATTGACACGACATGTGGCAGACATTGCTGATCTGCGTGGATCGGCGGTCAAAATCACCGATCCGTGCAGATCGGCGGGCGAAATCGCCGATCTGCACGGATCGGCGGGCGATATAGTGCCCGAGTATTCGTCGAGCAAAAAAAACTCGGCGAGTAAAACTCGGCTCGACTCGGACGAGTAAATTTTACAAAAATCAAAACTCGTTACTCGCACCCAAACGAGTAACTCGGCCGAGTCCGAGCGAGTAACTCGTCTCGTTGCACAGGTATACAGCCCAATCCCAGCCCCGCTACCAACACCACCATCCTCGCCACCACCCGCTGCTGCGTCCGCCCCTCTCCCCTCCGCCGCGTCCTCCTCCACCTCGTCTGCCGCCTCCCCCTCCACCTCCTCCTCCGCCTCCTCCTCTTCCTCCTACTCCTCTTCCTCCTCCTCCTCCTCCTCCTCCTCCTCCTCCTCCTCCTCCTCCTCATCCTCCTCCTCCTCCTCCTCCTCCTCTTCCTCTTCCTCCTCCTCCTCCTCCGCACCCTCGCCCCCAATAACGATCTCCAGAGCTGCGACCCCTTTCGTGCGGCGGCCCTCGCCGATCCTCTGGCCTGGGTGTGGTTGCGTTGGAGAGGTTGGGGTGGTTGAGTGAGGATTTTGAAATTCAAAGTTCAGATGTGGGTTCTGCGCTTGAGCGAGGTCGCAATAACAATTCGCGAAGTCGCAGATTCGTCGCGCATTTTTCCATTTTGGTTTTTTTTCAGCCCAGGGCCGGGCTGCCCGGGCGTGTTTTTGCAAATCCAGAGCGTATTTGCGTACCACGTATATACGCTAGCGCACATACGTGGTATGCCAGCCTTTCCAATGCGTATCTGCCAACGTAGTGCTACCAAGTTTAGTGAATTGAGGAACCGACACTTACATTGAACCATCTTGGAAAAATGTGACTATGATGAATGCTAGTGGTGCCAAACTAGCACTAGAATTTGATGAAACACCCTAGGTTCGTGTGAAAACAAAGAACGAGAATGGGATGACTATGAACGAAGTGAGTACAAATAGGAAACCCTAATTGGGTTGTACCCCCTATGGGATACCCCACTATAGCCTACAGAAACAAGTAAGCTATAAGTTCTGACACACCCCCATAGGCAAAGTGGGGGAGAACAAGGGGTCACAAGACCAGTCAAGCAAAGCAAAGCAAGGCTCAGGGTGGATCACAAAGTCACCACGCAATCCGAGCACAAGTTCAAAGGCCACAAGGCCAGTTCACATGCAAGATCATATATAGAGATATACAAGAGCAAGAGTATATATATGCGAAAGTACAAGCAAGGTCAAGAGGAGAGCAAGTGAGGCAAGACAGGCACAAGACCCAACTACGTGCAGCAACGCTGATGATCACAAGGCGCAAGTGCCTTGGTGAAGACATCAGCAGTGTTGGCCTCAGAGGCCACATACGCAAGTCGCAGCTGTCCACGCTGCTGTAGCTCACGAGCAAGAAAGTAGCGAAGAGCAATGTGCTTCGTTCTGTGCTCCAGTCGCTGCTCTCGACACAAGGCCAGCATGGCCTTGTTGTCTACGTACAGGACTGGAGGAGAACGAGGCTGCTCTCCAAGGTCGGTCAGCAGGTAGGTGAGCCAGCGTAACTCCTGTGCAGCCATAGCCCCAACGTAGATCTCAGCCTCACAACTGGAGCCGAGAACAGAAGACGAGCGGGTAGCCCGCCACAAGACAGAGCCGGAACCAAGGCTGAAGGTGTAACCCTGTGACGACCGCTGCGTAGCCTGGTCGTCAGCCCAAGAAGCGTCTGCGTGCCCAGTGAGGACCACTGGACTGCGCCCTCCAAGCACTAGCCCCATGCCCGACGTACTGCACAAGTAGCGCAACACCCTCTTCGCTGCAGCCATGTGCTCTGGTCGGTGTCTCCCAGGAGCAACAAAGCGTGCGAGAATGCTAAGAGGGTATGCGAGGTCAGGTCGTGTGCAGGTCATCAGGTACATGAGGCAGCCAACAAGCTCTGCAAACGGGCCACTCGACTCTACGGACTCATCCGAAGGCAGAGCTGAGAGCGAGTGGCGAGTAGGCAGAGGAGTGGCCTGAGGCGAGGAGTACGTGAAGCCGAAGCGCTGAAGGACCTGCTGCACCATGTGTGACTGAGTCAGGGTAATGGTGCGGCGTGCTCTGTCCCGGGTGATCTGCAAGCCAAGGTAGCTGCGCAGTTCACCCAGGTCAGTGCACGTGTGTCTCTTCTGCAGCTCGGACTTCACGTAGGCGAGTCCAGCAGTGTCAGCTGTGGCAAAGACCAAGTCGTCGACGTACACGAGGATGTAGAACGGCGGCAGAGAGGTGTCGGTGCGCAGAAACAGCGACGGGTCGGCAGTGGAAGGAGCAAACCCAAGTGCCGCGAGCGTAGTCCTCAGTGTGTCGTGCCACTCACGTGGCGCCTGGCGGAGACCGTAGACTGGACGCCGGAGACTCCACTGGGTACCAGGAGGGAAAGACCCAGTGAAGCCAGGTGGGCGACGCAGCCAGATCTCCTCGTGCAGGCTGCTCTGCAAGAAAGCTGTGCTGAAGTCGAGAGAGTGCAGCTCGTAGTCACGGTGAGCAGCAACGTGTAGCAAAACCCGAAGAGTGGTCATCTTCGGGGTGGGGGAGAAGGTCTGAAAGTAGTCAACCCCCTGCCGCTGACTGAAGCCACGAGCCACGTAACGCGCCTTGAAGACAGTCGGAGAACCCGGCGGCCGCTTCACCCTGAAAATCCACATGCCACTGACGATGTTCGCCCCAGGAGGGGGAACAGCGTCAACGTAGGTGCCTGTGGACTTCCAGGAAGCCATCTCTGCATCCATAGCTGCCTGCCACTGAGAGGAGTAGGGACCCTCTATCGCCTCCGCGTAAGAGCGCGGAGTCGGGATGTCTGGTGCATCCGGGTCTCCCTCAGGGGCTAGCAGTACAGACGCGAGACGAGGTGAAGCGGCGGCCAGACACTGGAACTCCTCCTGCCTGTCCTCAAGGACGTCCGTGCCAAGGGCACACTCACCCCCGACGGACGGAGGACAGGCGGACTCAGACTCAGTGACAAGACGAGCAGCGTAGTCTAGACGACAGCGCGCAGCAAAGTCGACAAGCTCAGTGACAAGGGCAGACGCAGCAGACGACTCGAAGGAGGGGTCAGTGACAGCAGTAGCCAGGAGACGCGTGACAGTAGGACTGGCAGCACGAAGAGCGTCCGACTCCGGGTCGGCAAGAGCAGGAAGAGAGGAAGCAGGAGGAGAAGGCAAAGGGGCACGCAGAGGAGCAGTGGACGGACGCAGTGACATCCGGTGCGTGCCAGGGACAGGAGGAGGACGCTGACGCGAGCCGCGACCACTAGCGCGCTCAGTACGAACAGGCGACACAGGACGAGACGCAGGCTCACGACGCTCAGTAAGACCTCCAGTCGGACCAGCGTAGGGAGAAGGAGCAGGCAAAGGGGAGGCAGGCTGTAGCTGTGGCTGTGACCGGACAGGCTGCGGACCCTCTAAGGGAGGAGGAGGAGGTGTAAGACCAAGAACCTGCTGCAGGAGCGGAACGAAGTACGGTCGGGGCCGCGCGGCGACGCTAGAAACAGCAGGAACAGCACCAACAGCCCCGGCAGGAGCACCCACTCCAGCAGCACCTCCAGCAGCACCACCAGAAGCTCCAGAACCTCCAGCCGCAGCACCAGGAGCACTGTCAGTCGTGCCGCCAACGGCAGGCTCAGCGCCAACACCCTCAGCAGGACCAGCTCCAGGAGAACTCTCAGACTCAGCAGCTCCAGCACCCACAGTACGAGCGCCGGCGGGGCGCGGAGCAGCAGTACCCTCTGCACCAGCAGCACGCCTCCAGCGCCCGGCAAACCACTCACGCAGCTCCTGTGGGGAGAGTGGCTCCCGGCGAGACGAAGCACCCCCAGGCACAGCACCTCCAGGCTCAGCACCCCTAGACACAGCACCCCCAGGCTCAGCACCCCCAGGCTCAGCACCCCCAGGCACAGCACCCCCAGGCACAGCACCCCCAGACTCGGCACCTCTAGGCTCAGCACCCCCAGGCACAGCACCCCCAGGCTCAGCACCCCCAGGCTTAGCACCCCCAGACTCGGCACCTCCAGGCTCAGCACCCCCAGACTCCGCACCCCCAGGCTCAGCTCCCGCAGCAGCACCAGAGTCACCAGTGACCTCGACAGGCTCGACCGCGTCTACCTGGGACACACCTGAAGGGGCAGGACCCTGAAGGGGGAGGGGGACTACCGGGGGGGGACCTGGTACCAAGAAGAGCGGGGGTGGGGGGAGGGACGGAGTGCGGTAGGGGAAGAGGCGGTAGTAGGGTACCGACTCGTCGAACGTGACGTCCTGGGAGGACAGAACACGTCGAGAGGTGGGGTGGTAAAACTGCCACCCAGGGGCGTCGAGGGGGAACCCCAGGAAGACGCAGGGAGAAGCACGAGGGGACAGCTTGTCCGCAGACAGGTCGCGAACAAACGCCCGAGATCCCCAGACCCGGAACGCCGACGCATCGCCAACCTTCCCAGTCCACAGCAGGGCTGGGGAGGTCTCCGGTCGAGAGACCCTGGGGTGGAGGTTGATCTGGTGCGCAGCGTACCTGACCGCAAACGGCCACAGAAAATGGGGAGCAGCCGCATGCATCATGGACGTACGAGCGACGTCCATGACCATGCCAATGCGGCGCTCAGCAATCCCATTCTGCTGCGGTGAGTCCGGAAGCGTGAAGGTCTGACGGATGCCTCGCGCACGACAGTAGGCACTCAGGAGGCCAGAGGAGAACTCTCCGCCTCTGTCCGAGTGCAGACGCAAAACAGGGAAGTCAGAGCCAAAGCTCCTCCGAAGCTGGAGACGAGCTGCGCGGATCCAGTCGATCAACACCGCAGTGACCTCACCCTTGCTGCGCAAGGGGAAGACTGTGGTGTAACGCGAGTAGTCGTCAACCACCAGCAGGAAGTAGCGCTCCTGACCCTGTCCACGGACGCGGGCTGGGCCCCACACATCCATGTGAAGCGTCTGCAACGGGGCCTCTGTCGGAGGAAACTGGGAGGAGTGAGGGGCAGCACGCTGGCGCCCCTCGACACAGGGGACACAGGTGGGGCCAGGGCCCGGAGGGAGGGGAGGGAGAGACCGGGGAAGACCAGACACAAGGACTCGCGAGGCCATGCCTCTGAGCCGAAGCAGAGAGGGGTGGCCAAGGCGGTGGTGCCAGAGGAGGGTCTCGTGAGACAGACAACGGCACGAGCAGGGGGCAGACTCAGGACCAGACCTGGACGCTGCAGCAAACACCTGACCAGACGAAGTGACCCTACCAGACTCAGCACCTGGAGGAGAAGCAGTGGTCAGAGTGTACAGGCTCGACCCTGGCCGACGTGTAAACGTAGCCAGGTGGCGACCTGTATCCGCCTCCGTGCAGTGGGTCACCCGCTGACGAGCAGGGGTGAACTGGTGGACACCCGCATCCTGGAGGTCAGCACCACTCACCAAGTTCGTCGAGAACGAGGGGAGGTAAAGACAAGTCAGGGTGCCAGAGGGGGCCGCCGGACACGGGAGGACAGTGGAGAAGCGAGACAGGACAGGCCCCCCAGAGGGGTCAGCCAGGGACACCGCAACCGGCCGACTCAGCGGCGTGAGAGTGGTGCGGTCCCGAAAGAAGGAGCGAGACGCTCCAGAGTCAAGGGTGAAGGTGTGAGAGGCCGAAGCCGACACAGTACCTGAGAGGGCAGACTCACCAGCACCTGAGAGCACAGACGCACTGGCACCTAGAGCAGCAGCCTCACTAGTACCTGACGCGGCAGTACCAATGCCCGGGTCGGGCGGGAAACACCGGTAACAGTCATCCTCATCACTACCAATCGCAGCATACATAGCAGAGAGAATAGCATCAAAATCAAGATCATAAATAGCTA